TTTCAGGAAATGAACCAATCCTGACTTTTTAACACATTTTTATCGTTCTGATAATACTGGAGGATAATATGGAATAAAAAAATGGTACTTCTTGTCTTCTGCAACAAAAGCAAAAAACTATAGCACGTAGCTTGCAAAACCAAAAAGCAGTCAATTTAAAGAACAGAGGTATTTAAATACCTCATAAGGAACTTCATAAGAAACCTGACAAATTAGGGGAGGACATAAGTGAAGAAGAATACATAACAAACTACTGCAGAGGTGATAAATTGATTGCCTTCTATTTACAGTCTCAGAAAAGCAAGGGAATAAACAGTGAAACTGAAGGGCAAAGGTAACACATTTAATATTAATAAAAAGATCTATTTAATATTCTAAATCATGCATAATTAACCAGGGAAGTCATTCCATACATATATATATATATCACACACATATGTCTCTGTTATCCAAAAAGCTTAGAAGGATTTGGAACCAGATTAGATACTTAAAATGATGATGAAAGCAAACCATTAGAACAGATAAGACAAAAATAATATAAAAATTTGCAATGCTTCAAAGAGTAAGCTCTGTCAGACACTTACTGTGCAGCACTGTCAAATATGGGATATTGGACAAAAGATTTTACTGGTTTGCTCCAATCCATTCCTGATTTTCTCCATTGATGATGTTGAAAAAAAAGTAATAGAACTAATGGCAAAAAATCCCAAATAGATCAGAGAAGACATTAAAGGCAAATACTGGGTAAAGGGCAAAAAAGAGAGAAGTATTATCAATAAAATGTGAAGAGAGACAAACTGGAGAAAAATTTATTTTAAAGAAATTTACTCTTTATGGGGATTTATGATTAATCAGGCACTTCAGAAGCTGCTTCCATGTTACATGGCAGTCAGAGCAACTGAATTCCTGCCACTCGCACTTGCTCCCTGCAATCCCTGACTGGAATGAGCCAAACCAGTTGCTAAACATGCACCCAGATGTTCTACTCATCCATAGATATCCTTGCTAGAACCCACCTACAAACAGCTTGTTGAAGTAATACTCTATCTATAGAAACACAATGACTCTTAGCATTCTGGGAAGTAACAAAAATCAAACTAGATTAAATAAATAAATTGATAGCATATTACGATTGCCATCTCTTGAATTACAGGGAGGAAATTGATAAGCAAAATAGAATGGCCTAATTAATGGGGAATAAATAAACACTCTCCTAGAAAAATGAATACAACTATTTCTGCCAAATGGTCCTTCTCCACAGAAGACCTAGGTGCTTAGATCGGATTTCTCAATCACAAGAGTCAGCTTCCAATCCTGGCGAAACTTCTATCTTCCCTGAAGTGAAAACTGAACTTCTAAAGCAGTTCAAAAGGAGTACCAGGAAGGTACATACAATTTGTCCCAGCGCAAAAACTTTCTTTTGCCTCTGGTAGCAAGCTGAGGGAACGTCGATCCAAACACCGTGTGAAACCAAGGCTCCAAATCAAGAATGTCTTTCAATGAGGCTTAAAAAAATGTACCTCCTGAAGCCACGAACTCCTTCTGGATGGCTGATTGCTCCTGGAAAGCCATTCTCAAGGCTTTCAATAGCCACACCACAAGGTGTGTTTTACCTGTTTAAGGTACGAATCTTAGAGGCTCTGGAGGAGCATACACTAAGCTTTCCATGGGAGCCTCCCAGATCTCTCCTGCGTCTCTTTCCAAGGTTTTCACTGGAAAGACTCACCCGTTGATCAGCCTTCACCCCTTGCCCTAAGCAGAGCCACGTTACAGCGGAGCAGAGCGGCTGCGTGAGGAAGGGCACACCAGCTGCCACCGCTCTCTGCCTCCCGGGGACAAGGCCGCTTCACGACATGCCCGCAGGAGAAAACGCTGCAGACCTGGTCCACAACAAGGGCCTGAGCTGCCAACAGTCTGTGTGCCAGGTACCTTCCCCCCTGCAGCCCTGGACGCCTCTGCTCTTCACTGAGGACACGGCCCAGCCAGCCGCTCATCCAGAGGTGCCAGGGGACACAAACGGTGGGGCCCCTATGGGTGCATGAAATGGCAGCCTTTAGCAGAAGTGTTTCTTCCAGCTCAGAATGATGGTCCTGGCAGAGGAGACATCTTGCCAGCCTTGTCACACATGCTTGCATGTATCAGAGATTAAAGGTCCTATGGAATATATGTTTTTGCTTTCGCTGCCTCCCTTCCCCTGTAGATCCACGCCTCTCCTCACAAATACAGATTGGGCCATTGCCTTACCCAAGGCTCACACACCTGTATGCTCTCCTGTTTTAAAATACATTTTAAAAATTAATTATTTTCTTCTTAAACTTCTTTAAAGGCTTCTGGCAATTAACCTTAGATTGCACCTCTCTTTAAATCAATCCTTCTTTTCACTTTGCAATGGCTATCAAAGATGCAGAGGGTGTGAAATCTTAAGCTCAGCAGAACTTCTTATTAAACTTCCTTTCCCCCCTCTGCTTGAATCACTTCCCATCTCATTGCAGATCTCCGCAGACCTTTCTTCCCTCCCTTGAGCGTGCTGAAATTTTCCATCCTTCTGCTGCTATTTATTTCTGTAGTTACATTATTTAAGGCTGCACAGGGTTTTGACAACATAAAATCATGGACAGTACAAAATACAAGTTTGATAGACTGTACAGTCTGTTTTTCTGTATTACGGTGGACAAAGAAAGGAATCTTGGACTCATTTCTAGTAATAAAAAAGACAAGCAGGAGGTGAAAAGGGTCTGGCCAAAAAATCTTGATGGTTTGGTGTATTATAAAAATCTATTTAGTTGTCCGTTATAACTGAATGACCCTACCTGGGAGAGGCAGCTCCGTTACAAATGCACTCAGGCTACACCAAGGCAAAGGGGCATTTAGCCCAAGACCTTCAGTAAAGAGCAAAATAAACACAGACATGATCCAGAGATACTGTGCCACCTTCTAGCCATCTGCAGACAAGCAGCTTTCTGAGTCACAAAGACGCTGAAAGAGTCTCTGTGCTTAGAGAGGGATTTTTGCCACTGTTTACTGACTTTTTTCATTTTATTTTCTGTTTTTCTCTGTTTTCAGGACCCTTGTAAAAATTCGCCGTGTTCAATATCCTTGACTGCATGACCTGTGCAACATCCCCTTTGCTATGAACCTTTTATCTGTTAGCTTCATCGATGTCTCTGAGATCTCATGCAAGACAATTTCTTATCTTGCCCAAGAACCACTCACTGCTCTCCCTTTTCCATGCTACTTGTGCTTTTACAGACCATATTTTATCCACTGGTTGTATTATATCCAATGTTCATGTTATATCCTTGGCTCAGTCATCTCTTTCCAAGGCTGAGGAGTTCTGGTTTATGGAAGCTCTACCTGTGCAGAAGTTACTCCATGCCTTTTGTGCTCCTTGTTCACGGTTCATGTTACCTTTTCCAGTTCTGTTAAATCCTTTCTAAGATGAGGGGCACAGAACGCACACTGTAATCTATACACAGTCAAATCATGATTTCTGCAGTTTTTACTGCTTTGTTCTCTAATCTCCCATAATCATTCCAAATATTCTGCATCTTCAACCAGCATTGAGCACAGAGGCAATGTTTTCATGGAGGTACCTATTATAACTCCAAGACCTCTTTCTAGAACAGGAATAAAAGGCACAGAGCTCACTGCTACATTTGTACGTTATTATTGTTCCTTCCGCCCTCCCCACCACAATGTCATTATATTTTATAAAAGAACTAAATTTCACTTGCCATTTTCACCCAGTCACTTGGCATTTCTCACCATATAATTATATTTCAAATTAGCGTATAATTATATTTCAAATTAGCATAAAGCTGAGTACTTTCTTCTACCTGTGAGTTTATATTAGTGAGCTTGCATAGTTTACATTTCACTAGGCAAAAAATAAAGCTTCAAAACAAGTAACAAATACTTGTTAGCTTAAGTACTGTTAAATCTCCTCAGCATAAATTTACTCAGTTCATTTATTACTCACACATTACTGTGGAAAGCTCTATATATTTCACTATACTGTATACAATCTCCTTCTAAGATGTCTTGCAGTGCAGGTTTGCTCTGGAACCACTGCTCATGTCCCATGCCAGAGTCAAGCTCCATGATGTCTCCATGCATGAGACTTCACTTTTTACATGGTGTGCTTCCTATTAAGGTCATAAAAAGGTTATAGTGCAGCATACATATAAAAATATTGCACCAATTTTATGGAGTCTATGAGTCATTCTCTTTGGCAAAAGTGTTGGCATTCTCAGTACTGGACTCCAAGATTATCTTTTATTTTTCCCCTCCAGATAGCATGGTCTGGAGCCTGTTTGAACAACTGATAGGTTTTCCGTCTCACCTTATCAGAGAAGCTAAGAGGCAACCATGGGAATTATTCTGAGCAATCCTGTGTGTTTGTTTTTTCTTGTTACCAGGTTGACTCTCTGCCTGCAGTAAACATCAGCAGCCAACATATCAGAAGATATAGCAAAGGAAGCAGCAAACATCTAACAGGGTACAAAATACATCAGTGAGAAGATGGATGAGCTGACCTACTACATGGTTTGCTTCTCTGTGATCATCTAACAATAATCCTCTTTCCTTTTTTTTTTTCAAACTGAATCTAAAGTAACTCACCAAAATGTTCACAGTTTGACCTTGCCTGTATTATCTTCTGCCTCCCTGAAAGCCGAGTGAGCTTTTCTATTTCCTTCTTCCCAGTTGGGAACTGCTGGGGTTACTGCAGGTTTTTAAGCAATGGTGCTGGGCGTGGGTCATGCCTGAAATCCCAGCATCCGAAGGCCCAAACTGTCAGACCCCTCTCTTCCGAAGCGCAATTCCCAGAGCTGGGTGAGGTACCAAGGCTGCCGGAGCCACGACTGGCACCAGTCAGGGACTGTGCAGTGCCCACATCAGTACAAGGCAATTCTTCAGACTTGAAGAGCAGGTCAAAGCCCAATAAAAAGAATTAATGATTATTCTTGTTAAATTTTCAAACTGGGCATTATGCACTTTACGGAGCCCGCTCACAGAGACCAGCATCACAAAGCTCCACGGAGCTCCTCGTCGACTCGAACAGACCACCTTGCAGGAGTCACCGTTGAGGAGCGCGGGCAGTGCACACAGGTCCTGAAGGCTCTGCGTCATCGGCCGCTGTCCTGCCCACGCTCACCACTGCACCATGAAAATGCGCGACCAGAAGGGACATGACTGGAAAGGACTCCTTGACAAACAGCAACCGGCTGGCACCCACCCGAACAGGAGGCTCCAAGATGCAGCAGATACTTTCTCATGATCTTTTTTATCTTTTTTCTTTTTTTCTTTTAAAGTGCACATACTCTAAAAATATCAATGAGCAATTTTTTACATTGCACATTCATGCACGACGGCACATTTCGGCTGCTGGACAGAATCCAAACTGCATTGCCACTAGCAGGCTGCGTTAAAATGGAAATCTATTTTACAGATTATTAAAGTATTAAGTCATGCCGTATGTACGCCGTCTGAAGCATTAAGGGGATAGACAATACCAGTTACAACCATATACATCTTAGACTTTGCAAATACATCCATCTTTAAAGGTTAAGGTTCAGGCTGCCAAATTTAGTCTTTGCAAATACATCCATCTTTAAATCCAGGTTAAGGTTCAGGCTGCCAAATTTAGGTCCTCAGATTACCACTCAGCTACCGTCCCTTTTTGCATATCTCCATTCCTGAATCCCAGTGCCAGGTGACAGCTCAGCTCCACATGTGACAGGACTCACTGTCTCCACATGGCCCAGCCTCCATGGGAAGGAAACACAAACGGGCACTGAGCGAGGCGTCTCGGCATGCCCTAGGATGGTGCAGTTCTGCAACAAATGCCTATTCTCACTACGTGTGCCACGGTAATGAGTACAGCCTAGATCCTCTTCAAGTCCTCTATTTCAGATATCTCTGTTTAGATACAGGAAAGTTCAATGGCTATTCTCAAACAAGCAATGCAAAACCGTGCTGGAGATTAAGTGCCTAGAGGGATGGATCAAATTCTGCTGAGGTTTACCTTTAAAAGTACCCATATTCGCATTACGCTGCAAGATCCTGGTTCTCACAGAACTCAGATTCTGGCAGCCTTGCATTCATATATTGAAGCTATCCACTAACCAGGACAGAAGAACAAATTTTAAAGAAAGTCACTTGGCTGAGTGCTTAGCCATGGGAAATCTAGCTGCCGAATCTTCCCATTTGTGTACCTTTTTGCTTGTGATATGCAAGAAATGACCGTAAAAAAGCAAAAACAAAACCCCAAAGAAATCTGCCCAGAAATACCACAGACTGTCCAGGGATAAAATATCAAGGAAGATGCATGAAGATTCAGGAAAAACCACTTCCCCTCACATAAGCTTTAATGGCTCCAATGTAACCTTAATTTCCTCATAAAAGTGCACTTTGATTTTAGTGTAGAGGCTCTTGACCAGGCTGTGTAAATACAAAAAAAAAAAAAAAAAAAACATTTTTTTCCACAGTTCTTATTAGATGACCCTTTAAAATAACAATAATAAAAAAAAAAAAAAAAAGAGAAGAAAAATATCTATGTGCGAATGAAATGGAAAAAAAAACCTGCCGAAAAAGAACCTCTTCCTCTGCTTACTAAATATGTCAATGTGTTCTGGTGGCGTAGGGCTGGAGCATGGGAGTTAAGTGGGAGCCGCGGTTGGAGGCGGAGGAGCCGGTTGCCCGGCATCCCGGCTGCACCCGGAGCCTGCGGCAGAGCCAGCGGGTGCAGCCACCGCTTCCCTCCTAATGGCCCGGCATAGATCAAAAAGAAGGATTCAGCTAAGCCAATGATGGAGAAAAAACTAATTTCATGGTAAAATAATTCTAAAACATATTTAAGGTACATTGGCAAGGCTACTTTAAAGGGAATCTGCATCACGAAACACGTAAGGGAATTGAAGGCTATATTCCGATGTTCCCCATCCGCTTAAAAAAATAGTTATTCTTTATCATTTTCTGACTATAGTATATAATGTAAACTTTTTTTTTCCCCCTGAGGAAAATACTTCTTCCTTCCTTTGCTTTATTGGTTTTGTCTGTCTGAAGACAGAATGGAAGGAGCTTCTTGTTCTCTATTGGCCAGCATTTCTTTGCTCTCTTACAGGACCCAGAAAAATAAAATGCAAAGAATCATACGAAGTAATATTTTTAATGAAAAAGGCAACTGTCTAAATATGAATCCAAATACCAGGTTACAATAAGTAAAACAAATATACAATCCCGAATAACTGCTCAAAACTTGCCAAAGCAGTTGTACCTGGACTTTGCACGTTTACAGAGCAAGAAGTTCTGCATTCACTGTTCCAGGAGAATTCTTGGAAAATCAGCAACTTGTAGTCAGGCAAAATTGGAATAGGTTTGCAAAACCATGTTAGTTCAAGGACAAAATGTGAGACTTTGGAGACTTTTGGGATCCTGCAATGTGGAGTTACCTTCGACTAGAAGACAGTGGAGTGGCTGAGAATAAGATTAGAGATTGCAGATTACTACTATATTGCCAGCTAAAAAAATACAGTTAACTAAAGATGAAATTACAAGCTGGTATTTTAAAGGCAGTTGTGACAAAAAGTAGAATTCTAAGTCAGGAAAAAAAGAGATAAGACACAATTGAAAGGAAGTAAAAACACTTTTGAAGAAAAGCAAAAACAAAAGCATGCAATGACATTCAAAATCCAAATTTCTGCATGAGGTTCATTTAGGTTTATAATATCAAACCACACTACAAATATTAGAGGACATTAAAAATATTAGATTTTTTTCTCCATTTATGCACCCCATTACCGGAGACACAAGTCCTTTGGACAGATAAGATAATTTAATTGGACAGGAAGATAATTTAAGCAGACATTATTTAACTTATTACACTTTCCTATAATTGCAAAGTTTTTTTTGCTGTTAAATATGATGCCATTGGGAAGCATAAGTCAGATGCAACACTGAATCTGCAGACCAGAGCCAGAAAGGCATATTAATTTAATTTCCATAGTAAAAAAAAAAAATAATAATCACAATGGATCACACATGGAGATAAACTGGTTCATTTTCATTTCATGCATAATGTGAAACTAAATGGTCAAACAATGAGAGATGAGCATAATATGACACTACTCAATTATTCTTTATCGATTCTTATGGGTATGCAAGATGTACTTTGTAGTATGGATTTTGAAATTAATTACAAGCTCCATGGCCAGTTGCTCTAGAAAGGCTCTAATGGTAAAAAAAAAAAAAAAAGAAAGAAAGAAAACGCAAACACATTTTCCCTTTACCATCCTCTCCTTTATAGGCACCAGCCTATATCCTTTTTCCTATCATCAGGTGCTGGAAATAGTTATTAGTGAAGTCTCATAAATGCCACCTTATCCTGCATCGCGCTACGTGAGCTGCACTGCAACCAAATCCACCTTCATTTTGCTCTTGACATTGATCTATGCCAACTGCCTCAAGAGCTTCAGTGGTCACTCCAGCAGCACTGCCGAGGACAAGCTGTACTCGTGTTTCAAAACAGTAAAATACAATCACCAGCTCTGCTCTCAATACCCCCCCATTTAGCCAAGACATTTTTCTTTAACATTTTCTGTGTTTCTCACAAGAAAACAGTGAGATTGTGGTTATTATCAGCTCCCTGCTTTCCCCACACCTAAGGGATTTCTCAGGTGCTAATACACCCCCAGCACAAGCACTGTCTTGACCCAGGAATTTTGCTCCCACCCCACATTACCCGCTTCTCTATTCTACCTTTCATCAGCCTGCGCTGTAGTCCCTGTTTGTTTTACTAATGGACTGATTCCACAGAATGTATGAAGTAATAGTAATATGATCAGGGAATTTCAGGTCCCCCCAAAGCAATTCCAAATGCTTCGGTTTCCACGATACATCGCTACTATAGCAAGTACAAAAAAAGTTTGCAGCCGAGTAGATGCTTACGGTAAGCAAAGGAGCCGGAAAAGCAAAACCAGACATTGCAGCCTGACCATCAGCTATAACCTGTATGTAGCTCTTGAGCCATTTGTATTTATCTTCCTTTTTTTTTTTCTTTTTCATTAAGTCCAGTATTTTATGTTCTGAATTTTAATCACTCACTTCACATTATGAGAAAATACATCACCTGGATGACAGCCTTTACCAGTTAGATTGATAGGCCACCTGTGCAAAGGACTTCAGTCCTATATGTTACTGAGCTTTACTTTCAGTCCCTGAGACTGAGCTGAACTGTGGCCCCAGGCAAATCAATTAATCTCACTTTGCCCCAATTGCTCTTTAAGAAGTTCTTCTATTACCCATTTATCTAGTGGACAGAATCGGTGAGTTATGGTGGTAAAAATGCACGTGAAAGTCTGTATTTAAGGCCTTCCAAATTAAGCTCTGGATTACGAGGGCTGGTTCTAGTTTTCCCGTTGATACAGGAGGAGTGACATGCAGCTCTTGCTAAAACGAATCGACTTCAAATGAAATGTTTACAAAGAGAGAGAATCAGTACACTGCTAATGGAAGATGGATAAAAGATGTCAAAATTAACACGACGAAGTAACTAAACTCCTTTTAAAAGATCATCAGGGAAAATGCAAAAAAACTTTGATAGATTTTCATATATTTAACCAGAAGGCATTTTATATTCTACCTCAGCGGCATATAATGATGATATTTCCAGGGCTAAATTAACACGGCCAACATCCTGCAACATAAATAGGCTCCTATTGATTGAATTAAGCATGGGGTGAAGCTAAGCTGTTTTATCTGACTATCAGTGAATGTTTTGCTGGCTAGGAATGTCCCCAAAGAGGAGCACAAGTGCACAGAATCAATACTGTCCAATCCAATTTTTTCTCATCGTTATCAAGGACAACTGTGTAATTAAGAAGCAATTCCATTAAACCATCCACCACAGTACGCAGGAACCCGAGGCTGGGGCAGCTTCTCAGAGATACAGTTTGCACCTTGCCTGGTGGATCTGAATAATGTATTACCCAAGCCCATTCTTAAGCGTACATCAAAGATGGCTTCACTGCAATTAAATTTTATTTGCCAGTGTTAAGAAGAACGGTTTTCATATTTACCTTGGTTTAAACAGATGCTTTCCTGAAGAGCACAGGGCATATTAAATACACTAT